GCAGCCGCTTTTGTAGGCTCGTGGGCCAAGCTCAAGTGGTGTCCAGTCAGCGTGTGTTGCATTTGCCGAGGGGTGGTGTCTCAGTGGCTTGTTTTGCTGGTTGCAGGGGGTGGCGGCATGGGCAGCTGCGACTGCGCGGAGGCAGGTATACCCGAGCTGTTGGTCGTGTGACTTCAGGTCAGCTCGTCTGGGACGGCTCGCTGCAAGGGTTGACTGACCTTGAGGCAGCAAGGTCTTGAACAATGACGCCAGACCGGTCATGATGATTGGCCGTTACAGTAGCAAGAACCCTTTTAGTTGCGAGTACAATAGGCGGCTTCCCCATATTTACCTGTACACAATGTTCATGACTTATAAATGTTTTCCCCCGAAAAAAGCCTAATGCCAATGGTGCTGCGAATGCGATTTACTGCCGACAACACAATGCGGAGACAAATCGATTTTGACAGTTTACAATCGCATATTCAAAAAAGTCACGATTCTATATTTTGACAGAATATAAACATCTGAAGAGTGGCAAGTTTGCGGACAGTGGTGGCAAGGAAATGTCATGAAGTAAGTACAAATACGACCTCCTCAGAGCAGACTGCCGGGAGGATTTTTTTCTGCGTACTCAACGCTATCACTGTCGGTCGGGATTTCGCGTCGGCATGGGTTACAGACACGCGAGCAGACTGAAGTAAACCGACAGCAGCGTCCCTTTTCATCGCGAATAAACAGGCCGATCGCGAGGGCTGCAAGGTAAAACAATCTTTTTACGTTGGCGCGTTCAGCAATTTCTAAAGAATGGCCATTTGTACACGCGTTGGAATACAATGTTTATGCTGACGACCGTGAAGCTTTAGACTTTCCTGAATGTGCAGGGCAGTGGGATTGCCGACGCATAGTATCTTACATGAACCGGGGTTTCTATTTATTATTAAAAACAATTCCTGGAAACGTTGAGCGGACGTTTCGCCTCTTAAAGGAAATTTGGCCGAAAAAAACGCATTATAGGTCAAAAACACAAAAACCCGAAAACCGCGGGAAGGCCGAATGGCGAGCCCATTTAAAAATATGAGCGCATTCTTGTGTTAGCCACCCTGCGCTAATTTCGGCCGTTATCACTCTTTCCTGTCCATTGGGAAAAAATGGTTCCGTTTTGCCTAGGGTGTCAGCTAACGGTCGTATAGCAGCGAGAAGTCAATTAGACCCGGGTTTACCTGTGATCCTTACGTTCTGAGATTGGGGTAAAACTCGTTGAAGCCAGCACTGTAATTGTCTTTGGCATCGTTACCGATACCATTTAGTTGCTGATCAGTCCAATACAGAAAGCCGGCAAAACTCGGATAATCCGTGTGTTTCGCTGTAGGCGCTGTGGATTGTTGAATGAATACTGAATGAGCCTAGTGGGGACGAGCCAATCAAAAGTCATCAGCATCTCCATGCGAATACTTACTCCTAATTGCGTCTTGACGGCACATGAATAACATTCGCCAACTGTAGATGAGCGTCAACTTATTTAGATATGTTGGCTTGCTTACCAATTTCATCTAGGAATACGTTGGTCCCTTCCGCAAATCAGCGATGTAAACTGCTTACGTTAAAAATCACAATCTCTGGCAAAAAAGTACTACGATCGTTCTCTTTAAAATATTTAACGTTCTACACATGAAAAAAGCTGTTTTTGTAAGAAAGATCTCCTCCAAATAGTCTCAACAAGGAATACATATATACATAATGGTAGAGGGGCGCTCACCGATCGTTCATACGGAACTCACTCGTTCCATTGTGCCTTATGAGCTCTCTCTCGAGTCCAACCAGCAGCCGCGGAGCGGCGCATTATTAAGGCAGAATGGCATTACCGAAAAAGACAACGGAGACTGGAATGGCCATTTCTGGCTTATTAGCCGTAGTCAGCCAGTCATGCCCTGATGTGTGGAACACCTGAGGCTCAAACTCGAATTGTCGATAATGTCGTTCTGCCTATATCAAGCGCCGCTGTGCGGCTGATGGTTGGGCTCGAGAGAGAGCCCGTAAGGCACAAAGGAACGAGTGAGTTCCGTATGAACGATCTGTGAGCACCCTTTCACCACTGTACATTCCCGATCGAAACCTACAGGACAACGGGCCATTGGCCCAGTGGTTAAGGGCGTTGGACTTTTAACTAACAGGTTGGGAGTTCGCGCCTCAGGTTCTCCATACCTCGGGATTGGGTATGACCGGCTGACGACGGCCAATATGCCCGAAATGGCCATTCCAGTCTCCCTTGTCTTTGTCGGTAATGCCATTCTGCATATATATATTCAGACAGTATCTATGAGCACTCCCTACCATATATATGGTAGAGGGCGCTCATCGACCGTGCTACAGAACTAACTCGTCCTGCTGTAGCCTAAGGTTCTCTCTCGAGCCTAACCGGCAGCCGCACGGCGGCACATGATGGGAAATAGAAGATTCATCGGAAAATCGAGTTGTACTCTTGAATTTTCAAGCTGATAACACCAACCCGTCATCAGACTAGATGACGACGGGTTGGTGCCACCTGCTAGAACATTCACGTGTGCGACTGGACTTTCCGAAGGGCCTTTATTCATATATATTTACAAGTGTCGGACATCGGGAATCCCAAGATATCTAATTTAAAATAGGGAAGATTTATTGGAAAAAAAATAGCCTTTGTTGCATCAATATTCAAGACTGGTTCCTCAGCTCGTTGTCAGAATTCTGGGTTATGTACAAAGTCTGACGACGAGTTGGGGAACCAGTCTCGAAAATGTACGCATTAAGGGTTATTTTTCCCAAAAATTTTTACTTATTTTCAATTAAATTTCTCGGGATGTCCGTTTTCCTGTTTGGATGTATATATATACTGTTTGGTGCTGACGTTTCTGAACCTTCCTCGTTTCCATCATATATGTATATATATGGTAGGTGGGCGCTCACCGATCAGGTTACGGAACATGCTTGTCCCGTTGTGCCTTGGGGCTCAAAACACAACCCTTGCAGGCAGTCGCATAGCGACTAGTAGTAGAAATAAATGAGATGATACCGACAAAGACAAGGGAGACCGAAATGGCCATTTTTGGCTTATTAGTCGTCATCTACCAGTCATACCCAATCCCAAATTTGAACCACCTGGGATACTAGTCGCTATGTAACTGCCTGCGAGGATTCTAGTTTGAGCCCCAAGGCATAACGGGAGAGCATGTTCCGTAACCTGATTGGCAAGGGCTCATCTACCATAATTAATATCCCCGATCACAACCGACAGGACAGCGAGCCCGTGGCTCATTGCTAGAGCGTTCGACTCAGTGACCAAAGATCCCGGGTTCGAATCCCAGGTGATTCACACTTGGGATTGGGTATAATTGGCTGATGACGGCTAATAAGCCAGAAATGGGCATTCTGGTCTCCCTTGTATTTGCGATATCATTTCACGTATATATATATATGCATAGAAGACGGGAAGGTGGCAGATGGAGTCAATTGTGTATTTATCCGACTCGTCGGATTCTCAAGCGAGCCCATCATCAACGGATGAAAACATCTGTACAATTCATGGCATATTTGGTTCACATCTGCTGGAGACGACCTCCAGCTACGCTACTGATTTGCTCACGCAGTGCTTTATAAGCAACTGACAGATCGATATATCAAGTTATCGAGTCAGTCGATTGTCACGTTTCCTGCAGCAGGCGCGCAATTCGACCGTCCGACTGGCCAAGTATTGTCACGCATTCAAAGTCGAAGCCGTGCTCTGGCGAGATGACGTGGGCTATTACCAAGGTAAGTTTATCTTTCTGTCTTACAGCAAACTTGTGCTCGTGCAATCTCGTACTAACAGATTTTCCGGTCTCACCAACATAATTGGCTTGACCACATTTTCAGTTTATTTGGTAAAGGACCTCCAATTGATGGGAATTGGGTCCTTAGGGTGAATGAGTTGCCGGCGGTTTGGAGCTTCTGGTTTGTGAGCGACACCAATCCCAAATTCGCTCATCGGTCTAGCGAATTCTTCTGACATATCGAATATGTACATTACTGCACGTCAGCATTTTCGGTTTTAAAAAAACGTTTTCTTCCGAATTTGGTACTCGAAGAAAGGGTATAAATCGGTTTTCAAAAAGTTTCTCATTGTGAGATATTTTAATACCAGGAAATGATGGATCATAAAAAGTCATGTGTCGGCATCTACCAACGTGGCTTGTGAAGTTAACAATATGGTTTAAATCCACTGCTAAATTATCTGAACCCCATGCACTTTCCTCTTAATATACGGCTTGTAGTTTGGAAATCCTGAATGCAAGTGTAAAGATAGAGCGGGTTCAAAATTATTCGGGAATTGGAAAAGTCTTTAAAAACCGAATTATACCCTTCCTTCGAGTATAAAATTAGAGGAAGACGTCATTTCCTATCGAATGAACAATCGAATGAATATTTTTATGCATGTTTTCCGTGAAATATAATTGAACGTTTAAGGACATCGAAAATCAATGAGAAAATTCATGCTACTTAAGTAGTCATTTTTCATGCAACCGCAAAGAAGTTCATCCGAAAGCCCGCATCCCGAGATAACTGAATTATTATAAAATTATACTACGCGATGATTTGTTTTACAACCCTACTTAATTAATCTTTTAGAAACGAAAACGCATTTCGGTGGACATTTCATGAGTTAGCTCACCTACGGTATGTGTATGAATATAATATAAACTTCAATAATCGGACACAAATGCTCATTTTAATAATGGCAGCGCCTTAAAGGTGACTCTGTTAGGATATTTGCACAGTGACTTACCAATAACGCAAAAAGCTGCACACGTGCTGTAGACGGCCAACCAAGCTCCATCCAACTTAAGCTGTGAAATTACCGCTGCAGTCAACAGGCCGCTTGGTGCCTAAAGTTCCAGAAAACAAAAGGGCATTAGCCTGACATTGCCGTTTACCGGGCATGGATCTCTATTTAGGAAAGACCACATTACCTGACAGCAAGTCGTGGACCGCTGATAGCAGTTTTTTGGTCTCAGGCTTGTTACTTCCTTGTCAGGGACAACTTTTGGGTAATATAACGAAGTCGAAGTACATTTTCTATGGTAAGTTAGCTTGCTTTCCGACTCTGTTTACTGTATTTTAGAAAGCATGTACAGTACCAGAACAGTACACAGTCGCCTAGATGTTCACTGGACTTATATATTTATATACAGTTGACTCCCGCCAACTCGCGATTCGGTATTAAGGCATTCACTTATTCGTTGGTGTTTTTATCATAGGGCATATTTTAAATATTTGCTAATTACTTATAATCATTTTTTCCGATAAAAAGCCCCGTTGAGTTCCAAATATGAGTATTAGTGTAAGTACAAAAACAGCAAAAGATTCATCTTTTCATAAAGATAAGCAAATTGTAAACGCAAAGTCCATGTGGAGCTGAAGCTGGCCGCATCGCCGACAGCTCGCCGCTTAGATCTCTCCTGTTTACCTGTTTCACTGCCTGTCTGCGCATCCTTCGTACATTTGTGTCTTGTATCTAATTGTTATGTTTATCTTTTAATCGTGACCCAAGATGATTTCTAAATACCCTGTTTCTTTTAAGTCTTCTGGCAATGTGCCTAAGCGACGATATAACAATGCATATATTCTAAGAAATATGCGAAGGCTTGAATGCCGGGTAACTTGATAAAATTTCGCCTAAGCGAAGGTACAAATTGAAGATGTACAGTCTCGATCAGAATTTATTGAATGCGCGGGTGGGTTCACCAAATGCTCTTCTGAATTGCAGATGTGTAACTGTTAGATATATATTGTAAGGGTGATGGTATACAATGAATTTTTCATTAAATTAAATTGTTTAAGGATGATAGTTAATGCATATTTTGTGTTTTAATAATAAAGTTGGCAGTAATAAGCTATTTGAGGGAAGGCGAGGTCCGCAAGCCCCTCGAATATCGGAATTCAACTGATAAAATTTCGCCTTGGTAAGAGTATTAATTGTAGATGTGTTTATGTGTAACTGTAAGTTATATATTTTTAAAGGTAATGCTGCAGGACGACTTTGCTATTACATTTAATCGATTTAGGATGATAGTTAAGACAAATTTTATGTTTGAATATTAAAATAGGCAGTTATAGGCACTTTAGAGGCGTCTCAACGCCAAAGCCACCAAGCCTAGCAAATACCGGAGGTCAATTTTATTACACAGGGAGGGCCATGTTTTCGTTAGATGTACTGTACTGCTCAAGACAGTCCCCATATAAGAACATCCAGGCGAAGAACTTGTGGACACTAATCGAACTGGCACATTGGAGGATTGACCATTAGACAGTAGACGCTCAGTCATTCGAGCTTTGCTTCTTCAGCCAGCATTTTGCGACTGAGACCGTTGCAGGAGCGTAAATACTCACTCCGCCAGTGTTTAGGCATCTAGAAAAATGCAATTCAAAGCACAGTCCATTGTTGGCAAAATTAGCTACAGTAATCCCTCACGACCGACGGCCCCGATGCTTTCAAACATGGCCAACGCTCTCGGGCTATACCATCAAGACGGGATTGACGGGAACCCACGGACGAATGCTGCAGGCGACTTTTTTATTTGTCTGCATCAGCACCATTAGCTGACTAATAATAGCTAATAATAGTAATAGTAGTAGTAGTAGTAGTGGTAGTAGTAGTAGTAGTAGTAGTAGTAGTAGTAGTGACAGTAGAATACGATGGCAATTGATGATTTGGAGATAGCAGCTTTTCTAGTCTGGAGCTTACATTACCGACCATAGAAAAGGAAAACCAGAAAATAATCCCGCGAGAGGCTTTGTCGCGTGGAGAAAATGTACATATCACCTTCGCTTACATCAAGTATCGGTTCGCACGCGTTTCCCTTGCTGTGTTCGAGCTCCGCTTGCGCCCTTTTCCCCTTCCTAACCCTGCGAGTTGTTTATTTAGGTCCGTTATCTAAACTATTTTTAGTAAGCTAATCATGCGACCTCAAACGAGTGGGGCTGCAGAACCAGCTCTCAACACTCACACCTTTCTGAAAATCAGATGATTTACAAAACGACGACAAACAACTCTACAGAGCCAAATGTCGGAGACTTCGACTCGGCATGGGATTACCTCCATACCTAATTCCAACCAATCAGGGACCGACTGAATGCGTGCGAATTCTCCGAGATTATCAATGAAAACTCGCACATCAGGGTTTGACTGCTGGAGCTCATGGGCACAGGATTGCGGTACAGAGAACTGTTTCGTTGATTCAGGTCCGAGAACAAAACACTATCAGAATGCCCAGACCTCGATCTTTAAGACGGCTCCTCCCCCCCCCAACAATGTGACAACTAATGGTGTTATTCCCTCTTCCGTTTAAACAGTTTTTGGAGTCGTTCTTTCTTTTTTATTTTCAAATAAGTGCAAAACAGTTGGGCATACGCCTTTTTTGCCTGCTCTTATCGTCTAAAAGGTTGCCATTCTTAAGGACAACGCAAAATGAGAAACTACGGTGACAGGAACATACAGCCGCGGCGTAGACCAGACCGTAAATTGTCGCGAAATTCTGTGGTCCAAAGAGACTGGAGGCGGCTCCGGGCAGAATGACAAAGTGCCCGGCCAGCGTGAAGAACAGCAGAAACACCCAGATTGCGTACAGATAGATGCCGGGAGCTCCACCGGCAACAAAGGGGAACGTTATAAACAGGACAGCCCACAGGAAGAGGTAAGTTAACAGAGGACACTGCAAAAAAAACACAGGTAAATGGCGGTTCGAAAGTGAAAAGCAAAGTGTAAGCATGTGGGAATCCGTTTTGCATAGTTTGCGCGTGTAAATCATTAGTGTTGTGCAAAGAGTGTCATTCCCTACGGTGATAGGCTTAACAAATCGGAGTACCAATGGGTCCCGGTTGTTCAGAACTGCATCTAAGTTTTGCATTAAACTGGCACGCACTGGTCTTAAATGCAGTCCGTAAGTATTTGGACAACCATATCGCACAAGACTTTACTTAATGGCTATTAAAACCCTGCCCTAAACTTCGGAATTGCAGATTACCTTTTAGTCGAACAAATATTTGACATACGCGGCGTGCAGACTTTCCTCCCGTATATAATAAATTGCTGGTGCTAGTTAAGGTTAGCTGCACTGGATTCACTGCCTGCATATGCCGACAGTGAATTATTGGATTAAGGGTTAAAACGCGTGCAATAAAAATGCGAAAATGTGTTTAAGAAACATGCATACCTTGTAAGAGAACCGATCAACCATGAGTCCCCATGTGACCCGACCGAAACAGTTAAAGGCAGCGCTGCCCATTACAACACCGGAGAGAAAGGTATCCTTGAATTCACGTTCAAGGCCATACAGCTGATCAATGGAAAAGGAATTAAATTTAGAAAATAAATGATTCCTAGAAGAATGTTGCGAGACAAAAGTCACCTTTAGCAACTTTATTTTAATTTTGACCGCTAAAGTGAATAATAAACTTTGCTTATGTTTTGCGCAGTAGGATCCTTCGGATAAACTCATTATTACTAAGGTATAAAATACTAAGGGATTTGTAGGAATAAATATTAATTTGGTATTTTAATTATCCATAAGAAGTCCTATAGTCACTTCTCAATCATCTTGCGCTTAAGCATCCATTTAGTTGGCTTTTTAGTCCACAGTTAAGTAAATGTACGGTTGAAGCAAAGTATTCATTAATTGATTTTACTGTTTGAAGCATCAGGTAAATCAAATGATTTTCTTCAGATAAGTGGAATGCACATAATCTGTCTTCTAAAGAGTCTAAAATGAGTATTTGCATATATTTATGTTAATTTATAAAAAGTAGAAGGAGAAGCCACATGATTAATCATTTTAGAACACCTCATTTAGGTAAACATACCTTGTAGGTTGAGGTTAGCAAAACCACAGCGACGACATCGCAGAAGGAAACAGTCCATAAGATGTAAAAATCAATGCATTTCAATGCGCTCTTCACGGAGTAACTCTTAACTTCCTCCTGCTGTAAAACGTTTTCTTCAATTTTATTTCTAAAGAAGATGAAGAGATTAGACTACGTAGTTTTATTTATCAGTTTACTTACGGGCCGTAATTACCCTCAAGATTATCCTTTTCTGGATGTTCAAATGTCACGGAACTATGAATAAGTTTTTAAAAAATTATATTAGTTCAAAGAAAGTGCAATCTGACTAAATAAACTGTTTGACAAATTTAAGATCTTACTTGTTTGAAGGCTCCTCTTCGTCGATTTTGTTCTAAAATACAAATGTGATTACATGGAACATGGTAATATTGTGCACGTAATGAAATAAATACAAGTGCAGGGAAAATAAGAATGTGGAATTGTCATTTACGTTAGGTCGTTTTCTTAAAAGGAGTACTCCGACGATTTGAAAAGCCAAAACGGTTCCTCCAAAGATTAAAAATGCATTTGGAACACGTTTATCGACGTCTGGAGGATATTTCCTAGTATTTAAAAATATAAATATCTTAAAGACACAGATTCATGTGGTTTTTAGCAAAGGACTTGAATTGTTTAGTTGAAAATGACATACCCGCCTACTGGCTGCAAATCATCCGGATTTATCACGTTTGTCTGAATGGGTGTAAATACGAGGGCCCCTAGACCCAGACCAGAGGAGATTATTCCAACAACGGTGGCTCTCTTTTCAGGAAACCACTAAAATTTAAAGAGTACGCATACAGTATTTCAAGAAAGAAACATTATTTCAGTATTATTGGACATTAAACAAACAAAATGGTCCATATAAAACAAAAATAACTAGACTTACAGATGACGCGACTTGAAAAATGACAGAGTAGGGCAGTCCCATACCGAGACCAAAGAGAACACAGTAGGTAGAAACATATGCTCCTAGGCCATGGTCAACTGTTAGGCGCGTTAGTAAAATGCCTCCGCTAAAAAAGAGATGAATTTATTATTTGCAGTTTTAATAAACTTGACAGTTTTTACCAGTCCACAAACGGGATGGGGAAATTTCTCGCAGATTTTCTGCAGCAAACAGGCCAGGAAACGACTATCTTTAAAAGTATTATAATAACATTTGGCCTTTTCTAACGGAGTTCGCACAAAATTTTAGTCTGCACGCAGATCTATTGGGTTGCAAAATTCCCGCAGTATCCACCATGCCTTACGAAATCCTGTTTTTTTTAAAGAATAGTCGTTTTCTCGAATGAGGAATATTACCAGAGTCGGTGTTAAGAATGCTCATTTTAAAGTTTCAATCGTACATAAATATAAATGTGTTATAAAAGATATGGCGTATACCAGCCGTATTTGGCAAAGTGATGAGGTTTTGAAATTTTACCAAAGTTCAGAAGATAGACGAACCTGGAGAAAATAATTCCCAAAATAAGGACGGGTCGGAATCCGATTTTTTTCGCAATTACTCCACCGATTGGTAAGGATATTGCTTGGAGAGCAATTATTACAGAAGAGAACCATGCGCTTTGACTCTTAGTTATTCCCATATACGAAATTACGTAAGAATTCATATTTCCTACAAGTTTTAAAAAAGTGTCAAAACTATCAAATTTTTACGTTGACCGAGTGTTTGGACATATATGCCCAAATAGCTACATATATTATGAACGCAAAAATGTAGCTAAAAAAACCACTTACCAACTGTGTAATAATAGCCCAGTGAAAGGTGGTATAGGAATCCACCTATTACACTCAGGACTCCCCACACTGGAATCATTCTTTTGAAAAATATCCAACACTCGCGTCTTAGGTCGCTTATATAATTGCGAGATAGTAAAACAATGCACTCATTTTCATGTACCTAATGCAGACTAATAGAGAGAATAATAAATGATTCCTTGTAGGAAAAAATCGTATTTGCTGCTTATATTTTAGGTGTATTTATCGTACTTAAGACGTAGCTATGATAAGTGGATGGATGGATTACATGTGGCGACAAAGTAGGAAATCAATATAACGGACGTTAATAAACATGCACTAGTCAAACCAGGACGAAAAGAGATAAAGCGGCAACGAAGCTGCGGTCCTTTCTCTTTTAATAATCTTAAAATAGCATTTGTTATGTGGTGTTGAGTTAGAAGAGCAAACTCTGGTTCAAGGATGCTATTCACCGCATCAATATTAAAAGTTTGCGTAAAAGTCCGCCCGTGTTATTTCAGCACAAAAAGGCGCGCGTTTCAAATGCGGTTTGACATTTTTGACCACCGAGAGATTGGGATTTCTGTCAATCGTACGCTCTCAGAATCCATTTGGGTCAAGAAATTAATTTGTAATCATGAGTGCGTCCTGATATTCTCTAAAGCACGTACAACGACCGGGTTTACCCTCCGAAAGTTTAAAACAAACGATATTGGAATGTGCCTTCAAAACATGTACGTTAGGTCTGGTCAAGAATACTTTTCGTTTGTATTTAACCTCACGCGTGCGCCTGAGCGCAAGAAAATGGAATCCATCCGACACTTTTTTACCAAGAGAGTTTTAGCCCTGCAACACCGACATTTGTCTTACCAAGAAGGTTGTCCGCTAACAGGCCTTGGTCCATTGTGGTTTCGTGGATTAAAAAAAGGAATATTTTTATTATTTAAGCTTTTGTACCATCGTTCCTTTAATACACTCACTACTTTAAAACATCTAGCCCACCCTCAACGTAACAGTCACCGTGAGGTCTTTTTTTTCTTACTCTAGCATGTACCGTTAAATATCGTCCGTTTTTTTTATTGTAAATGCAATGTTATTTGGTATAAACTACTCATTAATGTAAAAACTGTTCATAATTATCCTTTGTTTAAGAGAATTATCAAGCACTTTTTGCATTCCGGGAAATCCCCACAAATTTTGAGTGCGGCATCCAGCGATCGAATGCACCGTAACGATGGCGTTCGTGGTTTCCGATCCCTATGGCCGGTCTCACCAGAGACTATTTCTTTAGCCCACAGCGACACCTGTTCTTCAGTGCCTTTGTTTGGTCCAGTCCCAACTTTATGGAAAGAAATGGCGACTGATAATATCAGATGCAGTGCTACCCCTCCCTTTGTTGACGCTCGTCATTTCCTGGGAAGCAGTTTTTTGCCTCCTAATCCCTCCAAACTGTAAAAGACCCCCATCATCTTAATTTTTATTTATTTGCCAGGGATGTATTCTCACTGCTGTCCGGATTTATGTTTAACCCATCCCTGACATTGCCCTTGAACTGACATTAAATGCAATTATTATTATTACCTCGACACTCACGGAACTCCAACAGGACTTTCCTTGGAAAAATCACTCTTGTTCAGATCACTTCTCTGCCATCGGCACCGCGGTTATAATTCAGTATAATTTAGTATATATGAGGGATAGAGGCAGAGCCTTGGAAAACCCTATTTACAGATAGACGTATAAAAAAAACATGCAGATATTTACATAGCAGTTATACCAGTCACTGATAGCAGGTAAATGTTTGATCAAGCATAAGTTTATCTAGTCTTCTTTTGAAAGTCTCGAAGTTTTCCGCTAAGACAACGGAGTTCGGCAATTTGTTCCATCCCTCAACCAGGCGGTGAGAGAAGAATTTGGCCCGCAAATCGAGTCTGGCATGTTTCATCTTCAATCTGTATGCGTACCCTCGGAGATTTGTCGTCCGCGCCAGTTCGAAGAAGTCGTCAAACTGAAGAGCACAGTCTAGCCCTCAGACGATCCTGAAGGCCATGATCATGTCCCCTCTGTACTGTCTATAAGAGAGAGGAAATATTTTTAGCTTCTCCAGCCGTCTCTCATAAGGTAAGTCACATAATCCGCCGACTAGCCTGGTCGCTCTACGTTGTACGTTCTCCAGTAGGGTGTAATCTTTTTTCGTCCAGGGACACCATGCCTGGACACAATAGTCCAACATTGGTCGAACGTATGCGCCAAATACTCGGCCGAAAAGTTCTTCATCAAAATTGACGAAAGATCTTCTAATCGCGCCTAAAATACCCATAGCTTTCTTTGATACCTTAGCGCAGTGAGACGATGGTTTGAGAGTTGACGTCATCCACACACCGAGGTCTCTTAATTCGTTGACTGATTCGAGTTGGTGACTTCCTATAAAGTACTGAGATTCAAACCTCAACGGCCTCCTGTTGCTCGAACGTAATCGGATAAGTTGGCATTTTTTACGATTGAGGCTTAGACACCACTCATCACACCATTTTTGCAAGCGATTTAAATTGTCTTGTAATTGTACAGAATCTTCCGGCTTCTCTATTGATTGCCACATTTTGAGATCGTCGGCAAACATAACTCGCTCGCAGTTCAGACAGTCCAGGCAGTCGTTCACATATATAAGGAACAGAATTGGACCCAGAACGCTTCCCTGCGGAACGCCACTGTGCACGGATGCCCATTCCAATTTAGCATTCCCGATACACACACGCTGAGATCTGCCCGTAAGAAAATCGGTTAGCCATTTCAGAAGATTTCCATTCACACCCACTTGACGTAGTTTACATATAAGTCGTCTGTGTGGAACACTGTCAAAAGCCTTTTTGAAGTCGATGTACACGGCGTCGACTGATAAGCCCATGTCAATTGATTTCGTCCAGCTTTCCATGGATACTAGGAGGTTGGTGAGACCGCTTCGGAATCCATGCTGATGTATACTGAGCAAGTTGTTTTCTTCGAGGTGCCGCATCAGCTCCGTTTTTATTACTCTTTCCATCAACTTGCAACAGATGCTAGTGAGACTCACTGGTCTGAAACTATTTGGGGCTGTTCTCTCGCCGCCTTTATAAATGGGGCTTATATTTGCTTTCTTCCAGTCGGTAGGCAAAGCCCCGGTCTCCATCGATGTTTTGAAGATCTTGGATAACGGAGAGGCCAGTTGGTCTGAGAGCTCATTCAGAACTTTCGCGAACACGCCGTCCGGACCAGGGGATTTAGTGGGCTGTAGTTGCCTCAAAGTTTTCCTTACCGTGTCTGTTGTGAAGTCCACCGTGCTAATTGTACTGTTGGATTTGACATTTGGGGGGTAAACTCTTTCATCAAAAGCCGGCTCCTCAGTATACACAGACGTGAAGAAGTCGGATAACAGATTCGCCTTATCTGAGTAGTCAGACAACGTATTTCCCTGGCGATCTTTTAGGCAGGGAATGCAGTCCCGGTTGCGTTTTGCTTTATTCACGTATCCAAAGATTTTTTTGAATTTTGCGGGATATTTTTTAAAAGTTTTGACTCAAATTGTGCCCGTTGCCTCCTCAACAGATTCCGACATAAATTCCTCTGTTTTTTGAAGTCAGCCAAATGCTCTGGTTGTTGAAAACTTGCGTACTTTTTCCAAAGTCTCCTTTTTAATTTAAGATTCTTCTTTATTCCTGACGTCACCCACTCTGGTCGGGATGTGCGCGGCTTCCTCTTCAGTGGGCAACAGCTCTCTACCAAGTGCTGCATTATGTTCTTGAAGAAGAGCCAATCGCTTTCTGGGTCAGGTCCTTGTGCTACATTCCAGTTCACCTTCTGTAACAGGTTTTTCATTCGGGTATAATCCCCCTTCCATACGTTTCTTTCCTCAGCAGCTCGAATTTCGGGTACTGAAAAATGACTATACTCCCAAACCAGAACGCAGTGGTCACTTCGGTCAAGGGGCGGATGCGATTCCAATCCGAGAATGCAACTATCATCCCTGGTGATGATGAGGTCCAAACAACTGGACTGCTGTCCATCCCTGAATCGAGTGTTCACTTTAACGTGTTGGGTAAGGAACTCAGTTGTGAGCAGTTGCATAAATTTCTGTTCGAAGGAGTTTTCTGATCGCGTGCAATACATCAAATCCCAATCTATGTCTGGACAGTTGAAGTCACCGAGTAGCATTATGTGTTTGCTTCGACAAATTTCTTTTATCTCAAAGACTGGCCGATCCGTTTGCTATCAAGTTATTATCGCTGGTCTGTGTAAGTAGCTCCTCTCATACAAACAAGGAAGCAGCCCGTTTGTGCACAACCGTTCAAAATCCTTACACTCGAGATAAGTTGAAATCCATTTATAACTGAAATATTTGACATATTTCTGCGTCGATTTTGCGTCGATTTTTATTAGCTGTCGAAAATAACATATAAATCCATTACCCTCTCTCCATTTAACCATGGCTGATGTTACGTTTGCTGTCGACAAAGTAGATCTTTCGGCCATCCTCCGTTTACAGAAGTTCATCGAGAAACATGAACATCTTTTTACGATTCTCGATTCACTAACAGACTCAAATAGATTCACGAACAACCTAACGAGCCTACCACAAATTGAATCGATTATACACTTAGTTTTGTCAGACGTCGCGGATAGATCGAAACGCAGGCTCAATTTAATTATCCGTAATATACCCCACACCTTTAATCAGACGCCATCCATTCAAAATTTTATACATTCGTGTGGCTTAAATATCAGAGTAGCTACCACTAAAAGACTTCACTCCAGAAGCAAATACAAACCCGTCTTAGTAACATTATACTCAGAGGCGGAAGCTGAGATTGTCCTACAAAATCCCGAAGTAAACAGAAATCTGCGTAACCTAAACTCGTTTATAGGTCCAGATTTGACACCTATGCAAAGACGTAAACTTCGGGAAAAGGACACCGGCTACAAATACGATAATCAGCACTCCCGTCCCTCAACTGAACCTTTAGCCACTACTTCTACTAATAGCAATAATAAAAAGAAATACACAGGCCAGCGTAAACCAAATGATAAACCCAAAGCCCCCACAGA